CACACAGCATCTTGCCAGCCAGCTGAGGTACACAAAGTCATTCTTGATCTTTTCACTCTGAATCAGCAGAAAAACCTGAAAGAAACATTAAATTAATGTAACACAATAGTCCATAAATCAGAATTAATACAAGTAAAAAAAGCAGTTATGTAGATGTTTGCTGAATTAAATACCTCTTCTGCCTCTTTGTAGTTGCCAAGGGCGGCTTTAGCCTGAGCATAGTTGAAGTTGAATGTATCGTCATTATAGAAGTAACCCTGTGGAAAAAAAGCAGTTATGCCTGCACAAAAAAGAAAAGTGCCTACATGTCCAGAAAGAGAGTAGAATATGTAGTAGTTCAAATCATGGAGAGTCTTTGTTTCAGCTCCATCTAACAAACTCATACTGTACCACAGTAATAACACTGTCATTCTTCACTGGAATACACCTTATAATGTGCGCCTTATATTGAGCAACACTAACCTTGACTGAATTGAGATATATGAGAACATCTTCAAACTGTCTCAAGAGGAAGAAGCAGGAGGCCATGCACTGTCTACCAGGAATAGTGTCTGAAAAGACAGAAAATGTCACACACACACACACACACACACACACACGCTCACGTGGTGCTTCTTTAAAGGAGTGATTCCATTCTATTCACTGTACCGCATTCGAGCCTCCAACCAACTGAAAGAACTGCTGAGCAATTTTCAAGTGTTCCCTCTGGAAGATAAAAACATAATGACACACCTTTGTCCCACTCCCACTGCTAAATATTGTTTGTATAACACTCCAAGTTTAACAGGAATACTCACTGATCCAATTTCTTGGCCCAGTGCAGCATTTACCACTCCTTTCAAAATATACTCCTGGAATTAATAAATGTACAGATACACACACACACATATATATATATATATATAAAATATACAAAAGCCAGATAATAAATTGGTTTGTAATAGAGCATAACCTACAAAGCCTCATAAACAGAATAGTTCTAGTAAAACATAGCCCCGATAATGATATTTACACCTGAAAGAACAAGTATAATTTCGCATAGAAGTTCAAGGTCACCTGAGGTGTGGTGGGGACCAAATCTTGGATGAGGTTGTAAGATTCCTGGACATCATCTGAAGTGTAAATTGGACCATATAAAGCCCCAAACTACAGAACATCTCCTCTGAAATCTGACACTTAAAACAACTACACATCAAATTACCTGCGACATGAAAACACAGATACTGAAATCACATTAAATGTGATAGTGTAAAGACTGGATGAGGAAGAACAGAACAATCATAATTAAACAAGAAAAAGAAAGAAAGAAAATATTAAAGAGCCCATGGCATGCTTTTTCTTGTTTTTTGACTTATCTACAATGTTACAATGGTGAATTATCATCTTAAACGTGACCTAAAGATCAAAAAATTAGGTGTTCGTATGTTCTAGTATTTCTATGCAGAAGTAACTCATTTTCCACTACCTGTTGGAATTTATTTCACTGCTGTGGGAATGTATGAGGTCGTAAGGGGGAAAACGCAACGACCTTGCAGCTACATGAAAGGGAGTGATGTTTCCACTTCTCAGTGGGACTTAACAGTAAGTTTTAAAAAAACACATGTTGTATGTCTGTTAATGCCTTGTTGTAATTGTTGTAAGGCTGGAGAAGTTACTATGTCTGCATTATGCCAGTTAAAATATGGGGGTTTTCAATTACCAGTACCCACTTTGTTTAGAGTGTCACACATCTCTTTTCATTGGTACATATACCATTGTTTACCTATTTAGAAAGTCACTTTCGGCTTTTCCCGTTTAGGGGTCACCACATGTTGACATTTGGCACGTGTTTTACACCAGATGTCCTTCCTGACGCAACCCTGATTCGAACCCGGGGCACAGTGGTGAGAGCGCTGCGCCTTAACTAGCCTAGCTAGCCTACCGTTGTTTACCTATTTGTGGAGGAGAAATTCATATTAATTCATGCTGTTCGCTGTGCTGTCCACTTGCCACACAACACCGGCAGCAGGAACTGTGCTCGTTCACAAACGATCCCCTCCTTTTAAGGCAGAGGCTCTCTGGCTCTATGATTCTGAAACAATTGCAAACTATTTGGAGTTATGAGGGGTGCCAAGCTAATCTAGAGGTACCCAAAATTAAATATTAAATAGCTGGAAATGAGCAAAATGAGCATGCCGTGGGCACTTTAAATAAGCCAAAGTATTTCATAAAAATATGTGATTTAAATGAAACTGAGAGAATACTAAAATATGTTCTTATACTGCATTTGGGCATTCATAACTTATTTGCATTGCACCTGTAAATAAAAGTATACAGATACTATATCTTCAGTTACAGTAAAATTGTATTGATGCATTTAAATAGAAATCTTTTCCTTGGTGTTGTTCGTTCCAGAAAACTGCAATGCCACAGATACGCACCTTGTCTGAGATAGTAGATGACCAGGTTGAGTCTGGCCTCGGGGAACACATCGATCAGAGGAGGCAGCACCTGCAATGCCCCCTCCCCACCACGAAACACCACCTGCAGTACACAGGGGAGAGATTCAGAGTGTGGAAATCTAGCAAGTAATTCTCTAGTGTACACACTCATTGAGAGCTTGTGAAGGGCTTACCAGGTTGTGCTGGATAAGCTCCTTAGCAAACTCAAAAGAGCAGGAGGAGATGTCAATTAGGTTCTTCAACTCAGCCTGAGAAGTAGAGAGAGTGCACACATGAAGTCTAACCTACCACCAGTTACTCTCCACAAGAAAAAGAAAAGGACATCCAGGTACTGACTCAGCTGTAATGGAGCTTCCAAGTTTAAAAAAAAAAAAAAGCAGTGTTCCAGTAAAAGCCCAAATATTGTACATTAATGCCACTATTTTTTTTTCTCCACATTGAGTTATTGGTGCACTGTGACACAGGGACAAACAATAAGTTTGGTAATAAAAATGCAATAAATTCAAGATTATATTTCCCTTTTTGGAAATCAATTTGGCAACTTTATTTAATTGTTAAATTGAAATAAGCTGTCTTTTTATATTTTCCCTTTCCACTTTCTAAATGAAACATTTTTAAATGGTTATCTTTACAACAGACTAAACACAAAATATAACTAGAATTAATGTTTCACGGTTGTATGCCTCCACCCACCAGTTAAACTGACAAGAATTGGACAAATGTGAAGTTACTGTGACCTTTGATAACCAAAATTTAACCAGTTCATCCTTGTGGACATTTGTGCCAAATTTGAAGAAATTCTCTCAAGGTGTTCCTGAGATATCATGTTCACGAAAATGGGCCAGACTTATGTACGGACATACAGTATGGATGTACCGACATACTGACGGACGACCCGAAAACATAATGCCTCTGGCTACAGCTATTGCCAGCACAGTGGCATAAAAATGTATGTATGAGACTGTGAAAATGTGTCACTATGAAAAACCACCAAAATATCAATGAGGGTATGCAGTTTTCAGACAGTGGGTACCTCTGCTGCCTTGCCGTTGTAAAGCCTGAAGTGGTTGCAGGCCTTCAGGTTGAGGGCAATAGTGGAGTCGGGGATACTCTGCAGGTATACAGCCAATACTTCCTGGGACACATCATAGTAGTCCAGCTTATAGTAACACAGAGCAACATACACTTTCAGGGCCAGGAACTCTCTGCAAAGACCATATGAGTAAGATGAATAAGGGGTGAAATGTGGTTTCAGAGTTACTTCTTACAAGATGCTTCTAATTTAAAAAATAAACATTAAAGAGCTGCGGCAGAGGCCTACAACTAAAGCTGGCAGAGCTGTTGTCAGCCTAGTTAAAAAAAGTGCACCTTGGCCCAGAGTTGCCACAGAATATTTACTGAAATCAAAGTCTTTCATTTTCATTTCCTTACCCTTGCTACTACAGATACAGTACATCAGTGTTATAGAAAAAAAAAAGCTAGCTCAGCATGTCTGCAGCAGTGACACTTGAATTATCTTTTTGGTTTCATAAGGCATGAAGCACATAAAATCGAATACTCTTCCATTAACAACTAACTGTTGCCAAGGTGGTGCTAGGACAGTACATGCACCCAAGTACAGGACTGTAAAGCTGGTTTAAGTGTGTAAAGCACAGACCTGTTCTGCAGTAGAAGGCGTTTATAGATGTCTATAGCTTCCTGGTAGTGGGACCGCATGTAGTGAATGGATCCCAGGCTCAGCTGGTCCTCTGTCACATCCTCCAGGTTCTGGTGGAAACTCATCAGCCTCCTCTCATCATTGAACTAAGTCACAATATGAAGACAACAGGAAAACTTGACACATAGATTCGATCAGGATTATAAACATGGTATGATCCTGGGGGCAAGCTACCCCTAGGAACAAACCGGTCATAAAAAATAGAAATACACATACAGACTTAAGACACAAAGAAGAAAAGTTTAATACCAGGAATTTTATCATGTCTTTGTTTAAATAAAAGTTGAAATTATACACACAGGGAGAAGATCATGGAAATCTATCATAAAAACAACAGAAATACCTCTAAGATTTCCTTATTAAAGAGTTCATACTGATTTAATGCTTCTCTAATATTAAATACAGCATATAAACATATATGTATGTACATGCATGCAATTAACTGTGACTGAATAAGGACAGATACAACAAGTAAACAAATAATAGAGAAATATTTATTTTCCAACCTTGTGAGCCAAATGGAAGAGCAGCCGGTTTTGGAGGGGGGACACTGGCCCTACAGAGAACAAGAGAAACCAAATGTACAGTGCCTTGCGAAAGTATTCGGCCCCCTTGAACTTTGCGACCTTTTGCCACATTTCAGGCTTCAAACTTAAAGATATAAAACTGTAATTTTTTGTGAAGAATCAACAACAAGTGGGACACAATCATGAAGTGGAACGAAATTTATTGGATATTTCAAACTTTTTTAACAAATAAAAAACTGAATAATTGGGCGTGCAAAATTATTCAGCCCCCTTAAGTTAATACTTTGTAGCGCCACCTTTTGCTGCGATTACAGCTGTAAGTCGCTTGGGGTATGTCTCTAACAGTTTTGCACATCAAGAGACTGAAATTTTTGCCCATTCCTCCTTGCAAAACAGCTCAAGCTCAGTGAGGTTGGATGGAGAGCGTTTGTGAACAGCAGTTTTCAGTTCTTTCCACAGATTCTCAATTGGATTCAGGTCTGGACTTTGACTTGGCCATTCTAACACCTGGATATGTGTATTTGTGAACCATTCCATTGTAGATTTTGCTTTATGTTTTGGATCATTGTCGTGTTGGAAGACAAATCTCCGTCCCAGTCTCAGGTCTGTTGCAGACTCCATCAGGTTTCCTTCCAGAATGGTCCTGTATTTGGCTCCATCCATCTTCCCATCAATTCTAACCATCTTCCCTGTCCCTGCTGAAGAAAAGCAGGCCCAAACCATGATGCTGCCACCACCATGGTTGACAGTGGGGATGGTGTGTTCAGGGTGATGAGCTGTGTTGCTTTTACACCAAACATAACGTTTTGCATTGTTGCCAAAAAGTTCGATTTTGGTTTCATCTGACCAGAGCACCTTCTTCCACATGTTTGGTGTGTCTCCCAGGTGGCTTGTGGCAAACTTTAAACGACACTTTTTATGGATATCTTTAAGAAATGGCTTTCTTCTTGCCACTCTTCCATAAAGGCCAGATTTGTGCAGTATACGACTGATTGTTGTCCTATGGACAGAGTCTCCCACCTCAGCTGTAGATCTCTGCAGTTCATCCAGAGTGATCATGGGCCTCTTGGCTGCATCTCTGATCAGTCTTCTCCTTGTATGAGCTGAAAGTTTAGAGGGACGGCCAGGTCTTGGTAGATTTGCAGTGGTCTGATACTCCTTCCATTTCAATATTATCGCTTGCACAGTGCTCCTTGGGATGTTTAAAGCTTGGGAAATCTTTTTGTATCCAAATCCGGCTTTAAACTTCTCCACAACAGTATCTCGGACCTGCCTGGTGTGTTCCTTGTTCTTCATGATGCTCTCTGCGCTTTAAACGGACCTCTGAGACTATCACAGTGCAGTAGACAGCAAAACACAGAGGCACAATTCATTAATACCATAACTCTGCTCTCAGCAGTCACATCATCAACGGCATTGTAATATGATCTGACATGGAAGTTATGAAAATTACATAGTGATTGGGAAGTGGTTTAGAAGGATCTAAAAACATACACCAATCCCACTGAGAAACATCTGCAAGATCTACTGAACAGAGGGCAACACAGAGAGACACATCTCTACATACCTAAAGTTCAGAAAAAGTCTTAAAATAAATGCTTCACCATGATAGAAGCCTACAAAATCAATATTAGACCACTTAAATATGTAGGACCAAACCGGTAGAAATTCTGGGTGTGATATTTCTATTATTCTTTGTTGACTTTTATGTAGATCTTATTTGATTAAGAACTACAGAGTGCATAACTGAAAATTCACACACACAATTACTAATATTCAGGCTCTTGGGCTCCATAATATCCTGTGACAGCAATTAGGTCCCATTTGGTTAAAAAATTAAAACCACAGACTAGTTTTCAGATATATGCACTCAGTTGAAACACCTACCTTTGGATGCAGCCTCTTCAGCCTCTTTATAGAGCCCCAGAAAAAACATGGCACAGGCCAGATAGACCCACACCTCAGCAGGACATTCTGGTTTCATTGTCAGAGTCTTGTATTCCTGTCAGGCCATGATTAAGATTACGATTAGGATTAAGACCGTGGCCAGGGGCCGGGTCTCTCTTATCCATTTAATAGAAATTGTTAAGCATTCAGAATTATTAAATAATGCATTTAGGGTTATGCAAGATATTGTGTGCCCAGCTACACAAATTTATTCAGACATACACACATACATTACCTCCATAGCCCTCTTGTAATCACCCAGGTGAAAAGCACAGTAGCCAATCCAGAGGTCTGCATGCTCCTCTTTTTCTCCAATACTTTTCTGAAACTGGAGATGACACAGCAACATGTCAGCAGCCCCTGTAATACAGTGTTGTCTGTAGCATAGGTGTGGGAGTGATATCTATGAATCTTTAATTCTAGGGCTATACAGGATCATCTGCAGGGGGGGGCAGTAGTAAAGAAAAACATTAAGACCCTCTTTTAAAGTAAAGTTGGCAGTTGCTTGTGATCCATGAATGCTTCTCAACATGACATTTGTAAACTTGTCCCTTATAGTAAAGTGTGTCCCTTTAAAATGTTCCGTAAAACCCTTGGCATGTAATTATTATGTGTATTTACCTGTGATTTCGATTGACAAGTTTTTCCTTAAGTTATGTATGAAAGTAACTTAAGTTACCTCTAACAGTGTCAAGGCCCCCAGGTAGTCTCTCTGTTGCACGTAATCTTCCAGGCGGGGAACCCTTGTTTTGTTCTTCTGTTTCTCACTGATGCTCGCAGGTGTCTCTCCTCCAATGGCTGGCTTCACGCGAGAGAGGATCTGCCAAGATACAAAACCAACATTTGACTTTCTCAGCTTAACACATAACTCAGTGAGTTTAAATGGCGTGGCGTACACGACTGTTTAAAACACATCAATATATGACAATGGTACTGGGCCGTTTGCATAAACAATAGTTAACTCACCATGTCGACGAGTCCTCCCTGAAGCGACTTGTTTTATCACTAAATTAATGTTAACAGTTACCTTAGATAACGTTGGGTGTTTCTATGAAAACGCACGTTATGTTCGCTACCGCTCCTTGCGTTTTATCTCGCTAGTTAGTTTCAACCTCTATTGAAATCAACTAAATAACGCTACAAACACAAATTAAATTCTCCTACAACAATTTTGGCCGTTATAAACATGATAAAATGTACTAGTTTTCATTTATCTCGTAGAGAGTGTTGCCAAGACGTTAGTTAGCATTAACTAGTCAATATGTAGCTGCGTAGATTACTTTTTCCGCTCTGGTATTTTCAAAGTAAAAGCACAAGTACAATGGCTAGTATTATAGTCAGTGCTGTTAGATCCATTATATAGCAGTGCTAGACAAATAAATTCTTTAAAAATCATACAATGTGATTTCCTGACATTTTTTTTAATTCTGTCTCTCAGAGTGGGAATGCACCTACAATGTGAATTTCAGACCCCTCCATGATTTCTAAGTGGGAGAACTTGCAAAATCGCAGGGTGTTCAAATACTTCTAAAGCTATAAAATAAATGTAGTGGAATAAAAAGTATACAATATTTGCCTCTAAAATGTAGTGATGTTGAAGTATGAGATAGCATAAAATGAAATATTCAAGCATAGTACAGATAGTCTACCTCAAAATTCCACTTAATTATAGTACTTATAAGCCTAGTTACCACTGGCTGGCATGTAGGCTATTCAAAGTGACGTGTTGAAATCAGATAAGATGCATTATGCCGCCATATGAGCCGGCCAAACCTAGTTTAAGATTGTAGTTGAAGGAGGAGAACACTGGCCTAGCATTTTATTTATTTTGATGTCAAACGGTGTTTGGCGCTCAACAGGAAACAGTTCAGCTCTTCTGTGTTGAACGTGACTTAGTGGTTTGGTCTTTGTTGCTTAGCAACGGAATAGAGCGAAACGTCGGCAATGCCCAAAAAAAACATTTGAATTTTGACACAATATAAAAGAAACAGCTATAACATATATCAATAAACCACTTTAATGAAACATCACATAGCTCTTTGCTGTTTATGTGTAGTTTTAAATCTTGAATTTTTAACCTTATTTTGAAGAATGCCCCAGTGGCCTAATGGATAAGGCACTGGCCTCCTAAGCCAGGGATTGTGGGTTCGAGTCCCATCTGGGGTGTTAAGTTTTCAAGCACACCAATGTGCATGTCGCGGGGTGCAAGTGTTATAGTCTCCTCTGAGTGTGAGCTGTTCATTTACACTGATACTCTTAACCAACCCTTCCATTCCACCAAGTAAGCTCTGCAAACAAGTGGTAATTCATAGAAATTAAAATGATCAGGGTTAATGTAACTTCTTTATATTAATAGTATTTTCAGCAATATCCATACATAGATTATAACCAATTGCACATTTCTTTGCATTCTTCTGCATTTTCACAATAATTAATTTGACTGTGGAGCAGCCCCAGTTTGATTTGTCTATCAACAAATCATAAATTCACCTGTTTTGTACCTCATAAAGCCACAAAAGACAAATTCTCCAATTGCTTGGAAATTGTATTGTGCAATGTATAGCTGGTGGTGACACACCTGCCTCTATTATTCATGAGCTTTGATAAACAACTGAACTGAATGTGGCATCTCTTCTTTTTGTTAAACATTTACTAGGACATAAGCACATAGTCATCAATTAATATGCCAGTTATTTTCTTAACTAAAACATTAACTGTGATCCAAAAGCCTCTTTTGTGACGACAGTCCAAAGCTCAAAGAAGTTTGTCATTTTACATATGCTTTTACTTATTTGTTTTGTTTGCCAGTCAATGCAGCAGGCAGTGCTGTAAGGTTCAGGACTGTAATGTCCCCACTGTGTCAAGGGCCCTACATCTCCGACCACCAGGAAGGCGGCATGTGATGAGGAGAGCCCGTTTCTCAGGCCTCTTCTTTTCTGAAGTTTATACTTAGTGTCGCAGCCTGTGGTCCACTGGAATATGAAGTCCCTTTAGTGACTTGTTGAAGATGACAGGTGCCCAGTGATTTTGATGAGCTGGCCCTAAGCACATCTGGACTACCAGTGTTCAAAACTAAATCACTAGACCTGGGACTGCCAGGAAAGACTCAGCTTCATCTGCTATTGAGTGTCATTCATGTTATTTAAGTTTTCAACAACAAAATGACAGTTTTGTAGAAATATAATCTACTACCATTTGGTTCAGAAGTGTGAAATGTAGGACCATTAGACTGAAAAACTTTTCCTCTGCTATCAAACTCCTAAACAGCTGAGGAGTTTATTATCAGGAAATACGTGATTTACTGTTTACATTCTCAGTTTGCACATGCATAATTGCACAATGACTGTTGACTGCTGCACATGCTGCTCGCATGCAGCATACATTGTTATATTCTTATATATTTTTTATTATATTGCTGCATCTGTTGCTGCTTAAAGTGCCTTAGATTTAGTGTTACTTAATTATCTACTTTATATTTCATTTGTGTTTTGTGGCATTCATGTGGACAGCAAAGTAAGAATTTCACTGTACAAGGAAACATGTTTCCTAACTGTGCATATGACAAAATAAACACTTCGAACGTTGTACTATTATGATTAGGTCAAATATGTGTTGTGATTTTAAACTGGCTTTGGCTGTGCAGCAGCCAAACCTCGTGACTCTCTGCTGATGTTTAATAGCAGTGTGCATACTCTGGTTTGTTAACATGGTTGATATTTTAGTTGGTATGGTTGATGGAGTAGTTGCTATCAAGAAATACAGAATGTGATATTCATTAAAAACACAACAAAGCAAAAGTCAACCTCCTCTTGATTTCTAATAACAAATGCTCATTTCGCAATGAGCATTCCTTTGTCTGTCTGCATTGTTTACTGCCTGTCTGTACTACTTATTTTGCATTGTTTGGACTGTTTGTTGCTTGGTAATACTGATTATTTTGTTATATTACACAGCCTTATGCTGGTTTACTTGCCCCTTGCATGGGGATATGTACATACACATTGAGAGCCGATGTACCAGAGTCAAACTCCTCGTGTGTCCGACACACCCGGCCAATAAAGCTGATTCTGACCGTAATAATATAGTCATGACAGGAGAAGGTGAAGAGAATCGACAAGGCAAAGTGTATGTGTGACTTAGGGCACAGTTTGTATTACACAGCAAACACCGAGGCATTTAGAAATCAACTCCTGTCACATTAACTTTCACCAGTTTAAAACACAGTGTACATCAAGTTGAAATGTGCAGCCTCACATCTCACTTTGTTCTGGAGATGGTCAGTGAGTCAGGCTGTAAGGAGCTATATTATACCTTTCTCTGTCACTAGACAACTTTCATCTAAAAACACTGGAATACCAAATTTACCGAATTCCAAAATACTTAATGATCCATTTTGCTCAGGTAGTTCAATCTTTCAATCTCTTCCACTCAGCATTGGGTCTATAAACACAATTTTCAATACATTATACATTTTTAATAACAATAATAAATATTTCTTCAAAACAGGTACACTGTACAAGCTACAAAAATATGACCATGTTTTATAACCAGTAGTTCTATATCAACTCAAATTCAAATATTTATAAATACGATGCTGGAAACTGTGAAGATCCATGTTTCTCCAGCACTGATATGGAGCATGTGTCATTTTTAAAAACATAGTAGCACAACTGATGTTTTACTTACAGGCTTAATGTTCTGGAAATACAACAACAGGGCTAGGCTATTCATTTAACCACAAAATCCAAAGTATTTTAAAGATTTTGAAGTTCACCATCAAGCACAGGAAACAATGCAAACTGCATTGCTGTTTATGATTAAAGCTACCATGAGGAGTCTCTGTTAAGAAACAAACGCTGTGTTTACATTCAGTTTTTCACACCAAAGTAATCTGTATTACATACATGCTGGCTAGCTTGCCGTCTTCTCCTTCCTGTTCTTTGTTGTCACACTGCTACTTTTTGTTGTGTTATCACTGCCAACTATCAGCAAGCAGAGTATTGTGAACAGGGAGGCAGGATGGAGCATGTTGTTCCCATGAGCATAATATAAACAAAACAGGGACCCCATATAACTGTACATACATGCAACAATACTTCATAGCTTAAAAACCCCACAGGGTACCTTTAAGTCCACAAAATACTGAAGCATTTCAATTACAAAACTCATAAAAATCCACAAAATCCTGCACTGACTGAGATGCCAGCAGTTCTGAATATATTTCAGCAACAGATGTAAATATCATTACTTCCTTAAAAAGTACATCTGGTTTCACTATGCTGAGGGCAAAGTGCCTCTCAGTGGCATGTGACATTTAAATTGTTTGGTGCAGTATGGCAACAAAGGCTTTATTGTAACTACTGAAGTTAGCCTAGTTAGCCTTTTATTCCTATAATGCAGCTGCGAGAGTGCTTCAGATCATCTGAGCCAAAATCAAATACAAATCTAGGTCTGCTTGTCAATTCATATCAACTGTCAAGTAAGAGGCATTGCTCAGTCTTAACTACGGCAGAAGCCAGAGCTCCTCTGTCTCTCTGCAGAGCTTTGCTTTTGGTTACCTCAACACAGCCGCTTGCGGAGTGTCCCCATTTGTCTTGACAGTGTTTTCAATGACCCTGTCAAAGGCGACTGTGCTGCCCAACAGAATGACAGGTGCTCTGTCAGGGGCATGTTTTCCGTAGTAGCGATACCATAGGGTGTCCAGACATGAACAGTAAGAGGAGTTTGACAGTAAGGAGTGTCCAACAGTCCAACATATTGACAGAAGAGTGTGTCAGGTGTATCTCATTAGTGTCAAACTTACAGACACAAACAGGCTCATTTTCACAAACATTTAAATAACAGCGTGCACACACGCGCGCACGCACGCACGCACGCGCACACACACACACACACGCACACACACATCTTTCTCTTTTAATCCATTTATCCACATATGGCTCTTTGCTAAAAAGCCTGGCAGTGTTGCTTCACTCTGTAAACTTCTCACCTTCCTTTTCTTTTTGCATGAGGTTTTCAATGATTAAATAAATTATTTGCCAATTTTCCTTTCTGCTTTCTCATGCCTTAACACCATGGCTCTTCAGGATTTTAGGCCCATTTGAGCCATCAGCTGTTCGTAGACAGTCCAGGCCATTGCAGCCATCAGAGTGCGTCGAAGGGACCTGGGTACAGTGCCACGAAAAAACCCGCCTATGCCATTCTCCTGGGAGAGGACAAAGCAGGAGAGCCCAATATATAATAAGATACTGGTTTAGTGACACAGCGTCACACTTAAAAATACATGCAGAAATACAAAATCTTACTACTGTAACTAACTGAACACACACCGTGTAGATGTAGCGGACAGCATCTGCCATGCTCCAGTGGGACTGCCTGACTTGAATGTGGGTTTTTACCACATCTGCAGGCTGTGTGACCAGTGACGCCATGACACCTGCCATCACTCCACAGCTGAAGTTCACCAGTGGGGAGTAGGCCGACGAAGTCACCTCTGAGAGAAGAGAAACCAGGTATTAATAAAAAAGTACAAGACTCATGTGAGCCACACTGTTAATTATAGCACAGTGTTATTTAACCACATTAAACAAACATTTCTGGTAAAAATCGCTTAAATTTGGTTTTAAACAACTGTGACCAACACTGAAGAGGACATCATGTCTTTAGCATACCTGGACTGCTGTTTTTTGTATTGCTACGTGATATATTTAAGATAATATCAAGCCAGTGCGTCTGTTTAGCTTTACAGGGGCAGGCATAGGAAGGGGGTACAATCTCATATTCCAAAAAAAAAATAGTTTTAGCAAAAGAGTGGAGCTCTGGACAGGATCTCACTGAAACAAACATAAACAGTTTCCTCATGTTTCCATCCAAATATAGTACAAATCTATACCAAAATGTTTAGATTAATTTGCAGAAGAAAGTGCAAATTAATGCACATTTTAATCCACTACTATTAAACAAATATTAGGTGTTGGTTTATCGAGAAACAGTTGCTGGTGCTACTTCTGTCATTGCGTCATCATTGCAGAAGAAGTAGTTGCACTAAGACAATGAGACCGAACAAAAGGAACAGTCAAACCTCAAACTGGGGGGAAGAAAAAAAAACTTGCACTGATGTTATGTATTTACTTGAGGAAGATGGCTCAGGAGGTAGAGCGGTCATCCCCTAACCGGAAGGTCAGTGGTTCGATTCCTGTTCTCCCCAGTCCATGTATGTCCTTGGACAAGACACTGAACCTCAAGTGTCTCTTGATGACCAGAGCAGTGCTTTGCAGGGACAGCACCACTATCTGTGTGTGTGTGTTTATTTTTTTATTATTCTTAATAGATTGAGAATGCACATTAAATAAAGCAGGTGGATGGAAACACACTTGCTAGCCATCTGGACCACTTTAAGAGGCCAAAAACTCAAAAGCATAGTATACATTTAGTTGACTTTTCTATGAAATAGTACTCCACATTTTAATGACTTCCACTGTGATTTCCTAATGCAGTATGGCTCTCACCTTGAGGCAGCGCCCTCTTGGCCTGGCTGTAGAACATGACGTAGATGCCAGAGAACGGAGCATCTCGCAGGAGCGTGGCTGTCAGCCCTGAGAACAGAGCCCTGACTCCCTCTGTCTTATACATATTCCTCAGAGCCCCGGCCACACTCAAGTAGTTGTAACAGCCACTCTGAAATTAAATATAAACATCTACAATGAATACAGGACATGTTTACACCATGGTTTTTATGACACTGGGACTAGGAAATGACCAGCTGGATACACGTCGACAGACTGTCGCTGTGGACTACCAGTTGAAAACTGTCATTCATTTATGAAAGCTAGGTGGAATGGTATTCCATTGGGCAAAGTGTCTCTTACTCATGGATACTTCATAGTTCATTAGCCACCATCTTTATTATCATCAGCTATGCTAAACGAATAGCCCTTCCTTTTTCTGGTGCTAAATAAGTGTCCCATGCAGACTGATATAATGTGTACTTCCAGTTCTTCATAGATGCACACAAGTCACACTACACATATTATTATTATTTGTCTTCACTCCTGTGCTCAGCAGTGCAGCCACCCACACTGGCCACATACAGCCAACCTTTGTAGCACTCACGATGGTGAATAACCTTTTAGAAAAATTCCCCCGTATCCAAATTACACCACCGGATTCCTGACAGCCGAGCGTATGAAAGCACACTGTGCTTAACATCAATGGTTTGATTCGGGTCATGGAGATTTGTCCCCCCTCCCCCATGTCTATTTCCATTTCCTGTCTGCCTCTCCACCACTATCTGATTAATAAAGCCAAAAATAAAACCAGTTGTTACCTATTAATAGTCACTGAAACATAACTAAAACAGTGTTAAGGTCCACAAATCATAAAACACATCCTAGGTCAGAGTGGCCCTGAAACCTCTCAGTATATAAAGAACCAGTCACTGACCTCAAAGCGAGTCTTGATGACAGTGAATGGCAGCATGCAGATGCCAGCTACAGTTCTGGCACCCGCTCCGAGCAGAACGGCCTCGCCAGCAGTGGGTGCCCGGTCCAGGAAGAAGCGCTGCTTCAGGGAGTAGTAGGTGCTGAAGTATATGCCCACCCCGGGGATGCAACGCACAAACGACTGCCAGAGAGAAATAAAAGTGTTTAACGTTTCTATCATTCAGCTTTTTGCTTAATGTGTTGCAGTTATAGGATGTAGAAAAACAAAAGCTAACCAAGAGTACAATACCATATATTTTGACAGCAGTAGTCTGACAACACATTTAACATCTTACTGTCATAATACTGAACAATCTTTAAAATCAAAAACATTCACATTTTTATTCACATTTTCACTTTATCACTTGTAAGACATGAAGTAATTTTTTTATTTTTTTGCTGTTCTGTCAGTTTCATGTAAGGGAAATAATACAATATTTGCAAATGCCATGACAGCCTTCTCCATTTCACTGTGTGGTGTTTAGCTGAAAAAACTTAGAAAAGAGTTCTGATGAAGCCTCTTGGATGAGAGGTGAAACGTCTTCGACCTAAAAACCTAGTTCAGTTGATTTTTCTACGTTTTTTCAGCTTACTATGACCCGGATGACTGAGAATCTGCACATACATGTTTGTGGTGTTTAGTTTAGTTTGAGGGTTCAGATCAGGTTCGGACAGAATTATGTGGCCCGATCCATGCTCTAATGCTAATGTTAGCTCAAAGTGTTGGCAGTTCTGTGCTGGACAACAAATGCCCTCACTGATTATTTCCTAACAACAGAATTTATAATTACAAAAATGACTGCAAATGATTAAACATCAGTTACTCACTGGTGAAATGCCCTTCCACAGACTGAAGAACGTCTCTGTCCTAACAACACTGACAAAAACACCAAACATCCCAACCCTCGGTGCACTGCAGGATGAAGTTTAGAAAGTTACAAACACATTTTAAGATACAAACATGTAACAACATACACATTAGAAACATCATTCCCGGCAGAAATTATTCTCTAGAAATTGGTGCTACAGCCTGTCCTCCATTTGTCTAATGCAGTTTAAAATATCCCCTTTTAGCGGTTTCCTGTTCCTGTCCTTAGTGAAAGTAATTGCAACCTAGCAGCCTGACAGTATGATTACATGGTGTGACTAACTGCCCTGTATGGGTCATAACAAGAGATTCAAACTGGCATTGCCTGCAATCTTTGTCCTACCATGCTCTGTGTGTGTGTGTGTGTGTGTGTGTGTGTGTGTGTGTGTGTGTTTTTGCCATAATGACTGGATAGCATGATGCTTATCTGGGTGTATGAGTCAAAGTCAGAGGGAAAACAGGGACATGCAAAAAAAAGATAAAACTGAAGGCAGGCTGATGTATATGTGTTTGTAGGTGAAATATGTAAAACATCAGCGTTTCCATGTTCGCACACATAATGAAATGTGTCTGTGTGTTATGCGTCCACACACCCCGGCTTGGTATTGTTTTGCAGGGTCTGCAGCCGTGTCTTCACCAGGTCCAAAGGCTGGAAGAGCAGTGTAGAGCAGGTGCCACTAAGAGAGCCGCACATAAAGGCTTTGAGAGCTGGGTGAGCCTGGATGAGAGACAACAGAGAACGGAGACAGAGAGATGGAAAGAAAGAGAGAATGGGGATGGGGGAACAGCAAGGAGAGGACACAAGAAAGAGAAGTGACAGGAGAAAGAAATGGCGGACAGAGAGCGCAGAGAGTGGACCAGGAAACAGACAGAGAAGGGAGATAAGGCCAGGAGATATATAGAGGGTTAGTTGCAGTGTAAAAAGCAGTTTCTGAAAATGCACCCAGCCACATCTTTCTTGGCACTGGTCACCTCTTGTGTAACGCCACAGAAACGGTATCCAAAAAAACCCCCTATCTGCATCAAAAATACAGGACTTTAATTTGAATAAAAAGATGCCTATGACTTTTTGATTACAAAAATCCAAGCTGTAAACAGAGGAGAGGTCAGATCTCCACACCACGAAGATGATGATGTGCAGAGACAGCCCACACATACAAACACACACAGGAGCTGTTGAGATTAAACTGAGACTCAACATCATCTGTGGTTACATGCCTCATGGACAAACAGGCAGCGAGGGCACGAGACACAGACGTGCACAGATACACGATACATTTAGCTGCATCTGAAGGTTATATAAATGGGGGATGCTTCATTTACAGCAATAACAACCACAACTGTAGCAACAGTAACAACACAAAATAAACCACCTGCAGGATAGATAAAATGTCTCCTATAAACACGATTGAGTACATTCTATATGGTGCATCTACACACACTCGTGCCACTTTAATGCACACATTACGTACAAATACACACTCCTACCTTCCCCAGTGCTCCTGGGGCTTGGCTCTGAGTATCCTGTTTTTCCTGCATTTTCCCTTCTTTCACCTCCTTTTCTCTGTGATGCTGCTGTTACAGAGAGCATATTACAAAACAAACCCCCATCTCTCTCACAAACCTTCTCCCTCTCTAACCCATACAAGCTGTCTCCTGCTATTCATCCTCCCTCCCTCTCCCAAAGCAGAAGCTTAATCAAGCCAGAATTTTTCTATTGGCTTCTATCTTTATTTTTCTAAGACACACTCATACATCTGTATTTCAGTAGCATGTTTGTCAAACAGATGAAGTGGCTGTTCGTGTGTGTGTAAATGTCGGTCACATAAAAAGTATGTAAAACGTGTATTTTGCACAAGTAGCCAGCTACAAATCTGCTTGCAATTATGTAACTCTCCAAGCTGATGAGACAGCACAATTTCTCCTCAAAGATCCCAATATTTAATTTAATCATCATCAAAATAACCTGTCTTTGTATTTCACACATAATTTACTACATCTCAGCTGACACTGTGCGGTATTAACTGTTGTGTCATGAAGATGGACCGGCTATTCTTTTTTTTTTTTTTAATCATTAATCAACGGATGGTAGCTTGGTCGCCAGTCATATGTTTAAAGGTAAATGTGTAACCGCAGAATATTAGTATGATGTCTCAACACGCACGCAAACAGTATTACAATTACTTAACACAAAGATATTCCCACAAATAATAACTATATTGGAAAAAAATGGTAATAAAACAAGGGCTGATTCAACTACTACGAGACAGACTAAGCATGACTATAACAAACAGCGACAACAGCCCGGCAGCAAAAACACTCACCGCTAACTCCATCTTTGACCTGGATGCTGAGTCGGAAGAGTCCACTTTCTCCCCTGCTGCTGTCACAGTTTCACACTGGTTAATTTCAGCAAATGTTACTAAAGGACGGAAAATTAGATTGCAACCATTAGTTACATTTTGAAACAAAAAGGTTGTAAAGTGCCTACGCCGGTAGCTGCAAGCTAGGTTAGCTAGCTGGTATGGTAATGTGACAGTGTCATCAGCCATCAGGCTAACGAACACTGACAAGCCGGATGCTTCCAAGTCAGACCCACAAATAACAGTATACGTTAACGTTACTTTAAAGACAAGTGCCATAAACACCATCCTATCAGTCAGTTTGGGGGGAAAAATCCCCGCCTAATCAATCAACCAAATACGATACACTGCTGGTCTAGCTAGCTAAGTAGAATGTTAACGCTAGCTCTTCTTACCTGACATCAAGGTCTGTTAAGGACTGATGGAGGTGAGAGTCACCCCAGCCAGCTTCAGAAACGTCATATTTACTGTGACAATCTACGGTCGTTTCCAAATGTCAGACGTTAACATTAAACACTTTAGCGTTAGCTACTTGCCAGCCTCATACAGAACTTTCTGGTAAGGCTAGTCAGCTATAACATCAGTAGCAGCACACGCCCATAAGTTTAACTTTAGTCTGGCTCACTTCTGTTAACAAGCAACGCAGTCAATGTCCTGACATTAATGCTGCCCCAAAAGTCCCTTTTGCCAGTGAAATAACAAACCCCAGCACCGAATGTTATACAACAATGACTAACGTCAACGTTGACGTTACCTACTACTGCTACGAATGTTAGCATGTGACTAGCAAAGTAGGAGTTCTTCTTCTTCTTCTTCTTCTTCTTCTTCTCCTCCTCCCCCTCCTCCTTCTTCTTCTCCTCCGGTAAAGTTCAACTCCAGTGCAGCATCAATGAACATTATCACTCAGTCAGTCAGTCTCACTCACTCTCACTCTCACACACACACACACACACACACACACACACACACACACACACTCGTTATAATGTAAAGTGAATAAAATGTGGGGTCTGTGTGCGACCTCTGCATTAAGGCAGATATGCAACTACAGTATGGAGTTCATATTCTGCCGTCTTAGCTTGCATTTCCTAGACAACAAGCCGGCAGTACACACACACAAACACACAGCATTTCTAAGAGCAGTCTCAGGGTGTCGCAGTCGTCCTATGTTTCAGTCCCGAGTATGGGATGTCTACAGCTATTGGCAAGTTTTGGCACTCCTGGACAAATGACATTTTGCTCATATACAGTGGGTACGGAAAGTATTCAGACCCCCTTAAAATTTTCACTCTTTGTTATATTGCAGCCATATGCTAAAATCATTTAAGTTCATTGTTTTTCCTCATTAATGTACACACAGCACCCCATATTGACAGAAAAACACAGAATTTGACATTTTTGCAGATTTATTAAAAAAGAAAAACTGAAATATCACATGGTCATAAGTATTCAGACCCTTTGCTCAGTATTTAGTAGAAGCACCCTTTTGAGCTAATACAGCCATGAGTCTTTTTGGGAATGATGCAACAAGTTTTTCACACCTGCATTTGGGGATCCTCTGCCATTCCTCCTTGCAGATCCTCTCCAGTGCTGTCAGGTTGGATGGTAAACGTTGGTCGTCATGTTTAACATGTCATTTTGCTTCAGTGGCATTTTGGTCTGTTTCACCCAGATAGATGAGTCGGTGTGAAAATGTGGGAAAGATGGTCAAAAATGTGATTTAATGTGCTTCTCTTAAAAGCAGTTGTAGGTTTGGTGGTTGAATAAAAATGGGAAGGAGAAAGCTGTGTGACCACACAAAGCAGTTTTGAGTTTTGAGATTCAGTAAATTTGCCACTTCCCCTTTTTTTAACTGTCTTCTTTTTTATGTGGTGTCAAATCTGTGAAAAAGAAAACATTTGTTTGTACATGACCCGGTTGTACTTTTCCTCAGATGCCTGGTAATATCTAACATCTTCAGAATGAATCTAAATGGTAAATCATAATAATGTGGTTTATGATGACATATGAGTGCACTTTTCAAAGTACTCTACATCAGGATATTTCATTCTGACTGACAAGATGTACTTAACATGTACTTACCAAACAAACAAAAACACTATCTTTATAATAATGACCCTCATCAGTCAAATTAAATATTCTTCATATTTTATATTAGAAAACCAGACAGGAAAATGTTGTTTTTACTGCGCCAACCAAACCAGTGCTTTCAGATGAAGACTTTTAAAGTGTAGGTGAAAACTAAAAATCGACAGTATGAATCTTTCATCACAGGAACTCACAGGAATTGCACATTAAATAGTTTATTATTGAAAGAAAAGTGGATGAATAAATCAATTATAAAACAAACACAAGTGAGAATACATGGAGGACTGCAGACTTAATCTAAACGATATCCGGGACTCACCGCTCAGCAGGGAGGGATTTCATTCATGAAGTGCTGGAGGAAGAAATGGGAGGATGTCTGACCTTCGCTCCCATACTTATGTCTGTGACAGGAGGAATACTTATGACCATGTGATATTTCAGTTTTGCTTTTTTAATAAATCTGCAAAAATGTCAAAAATTGTGTTTTTCTGTCAATATGGGGTGCTGTGTGTACATTGAGGGAAAAAAAATTAAACGATTTTAGCATATGGCTGCAATATAACAAAGCGTGAAAAATTTAAGGGGGTCTGAATACTTTCCATACCCACTGTATAAAGTACAACCCCTACAGCGAACACATTATGCGAAACAAAGTACTGACTCAGGAGGTAAGTCCGAATCTACTGCGATTAATTACTAAAGAAAGGTTGTTGTTTTTTTTTTTTTTTTGTTTGCATCCAACTGTATATGGAAATATGAGCTACAATTTATCCATTATTAGTTAAGCTTAAACACCATGCTGATCAGCAAAGAGAATTTCACAAATGTTATCCAAAACTCCATATTGACAAAATATGATAACCTGCATTTATTCTAACTGAATTTAAATCAAAGTTACTCTCAAACATACCATTACAAGCTACCAAAATTGTTATTTTTAAAGTTCTTTAGTTCATCCAAATTCTTCACAAAACACACACACACACACACACACACACACACTTTAAGCCTACAACTTTTCAAATTGCAGTTTATTCACGAGGAAACAAAAAACTGAATTTAACATTTTTTCAATTTATTGCATTAAGGCATCTGATAAAACATAGGAGAGCCTTAAAATGTTGGCAGCAATGACATGCAATTTCTTTGAAAATACAGTGTTAGGGTATCATATTGGGCCTAAAATATGTAGGATTCCATATTGAACTAATGGGCTGACAGAAACCCCTCTGCTGTGCAAAGCATAGCAAAACAGTACAGCAAGAACTACAACACGATGAGCCGCCACCAATGATCAATGTGTAAAACCAGTGAGCAATGATACATCAACCAAGTGATCAGAAATAGAACAAATGTGTACCACAGACCTTGCTGTAATAAAAAAAATAAAAAAAAACACCCCCCCCCCCCCCCCCCCCCATTCTGCAATTTTGGTTGAGGTGATAACATGAAAGGACAATACAGTGAGAGGAAATGCACAGATTCATGGTGACATTTGCAGATGGTACCCACAGTACAGTATGTGATTGCATTAAATCTCCCAGAGAGATCCATCTGTGTGTAATACAAGTATAAAATACTCAGCGTTTCTCCCAGAAACAGTGGAGTAACAGCACAAATAAAATGGAATTGCATTAGCTTGTTAGAATATTTTGATATACCCATTAAGTAGAAAAATAGACCAAGAAAAGTAATTGTAGAAAAACACTGCTCGAATTCATTGAGATTAATTAAGGTTATTTGGCCAAATATAAATGCATTATATGGAAAATAACAGTAAGGCTCCAAAAGGTCATCAATGGAAATACAACGCTAAATCCTCTCAAAGTCATTCCTTATAGCTTGCATGGCTAATGTTTTACGCTCTGCTTGTTGTGTGACCATAAATCGATCCCTGTAGGTGTTCCTCAGCTCACTCAGCTCCATGCTCAGATGTCTCAGGCTTCACATCTACATCCTCATCGCTGTCCAGGCCGGTGCGATTTGTGCTACGCCGCACGGTTAAAGGCAAATCTCCCCGTCTTGAAAACAAAATGATTTAAACAGTCAGGTGCTGCAAATACTGCACACTGTTAGTAAAGATGAGCTGCACTATCACATGACCGATTTAAATGCCACTGCCAGTCAAAGCAGTGCATGAACAAGATATCCTGATATTTAGTCACCAAAATAACAAGCTCCACAGCCCTGGATCCTACTCTTCCCATAGTGCTACATAATGATAGGACGGTTTTCACAGGCTGAGAAGTAGCTCCATGAACTGATAATCATGTGTAAAATGAATGTACTTTATTGAATGTCTACTCAACTAAAATGACTACACAAAAGGTAGGCCCCCTGTGGATACCTAAATCTCAGAAGACCCTACCTGAGTTTGCTCTTCAGAGTGCTGACTTCACGGTTCATGGCGTCTGCTGATTCAGTGGCATCCTCCAGTTCCCTCTGCAGCTTCCTACGGTAGGCGTTGGATCGAGTCACCTCTTCCTCTGCCTCCTCCAGCTGACGCTTCAACTGGCGCATTCGAATGTTTACCTTCTCCGCCTACAGAGAGAGTCCAGATGAGGGATTGAGTGTCAAAAAAAAAACAATACAGCAGAAAGAAAGATCGTCAGGATCAAACTACATTACAGGCCTATTTCACAGTAGATAGATATTCTGACTTGTTGTAGTAGGAAACCAAGCAAGTTAAAGAAATGTTGGCTCAGTTCCATTCAGTGTCCCAGTAAACCACTCCTGTGAGCCAGCAGGTAAAACAGTATGACCCTGGAACTAATGTTTCTCCTGCTATGACATAGGTAAAAGGACATCAGTGATGATGCTTACCTGGTCTTTGAATTGGTCTGTATTGCGTCTCTCATCTTCCACCTGCAGCATCACTTCCTTCAGCTTCTTCTCCGTCCGCCTGACTGCCCTGGAAGCCTGCTGACGCTCTCTACAATGAACAGAATAAACCAATTGGTGATGTGATAATTAGGACACAGTGTTGGGACTGTATCAAGTTTGTATATTTAAAAAAAATTAAAAAAAAAATTCCATCAGGTCCCCAACTCCTCTTTAGACAATATTACCAAAGCTCCAGGATGCAGGGTTTATCAGCATAATAAACAATAAACAAATGAGATAAATTCACCTCATCATGGTTGGTTTCATTGAAGCACCTTCCAAATTTGTTATGAGGTTCATTGACTGACCATGGTAATTATCAATCCATTGCACTGGCACTCACTTGGACTCTATGTCAAGCTGTTCTTCCAGCTGAGCAATCTTGGCCTCCAAGGAGGTGATGGTGGATTTAAACTTGGACTTGACCGTTCCCTCAATCTCCTGCAGCTTTTGCTTCATCTCCTTGTTCTGGCGATCCAGCTGGGAGCGAGCCCCCTCCAACTTCTGGGAGTTGCCACGTTCTGCAGCCAGCTCTGTGGTCAACTGCTCAGCCTAATGTCAGACATACACAATAGACAGGTTGTCAAGTGTATTCCAAAGTAGTTATCTGTTGCCCCCCAAATGTTTGATACTCCTTGTGCTGTAGTTTTCCCACTGCAACCATTTTTACATTGACTTGGTAGGGCTATTCAGTCATGGTGGCCATTACTACTTCTAATTACAGTCCTGTCAGTCAAAATTAAGTTTTTATTACTGAAGCCAGAAATGTAGACATCCCTTCTATTACACTGAACATTGTTTTCTCCTCCTTGCAAACAAAAGTTACATTGGCTTTGACCAACATAAGACACTATTCTTCCTGACCTGCAGCACGGCTCTCTTCATGCGGTCACTGATCATCTCTGTGCTGGTGTGCTCTTCCTCCAACTCTTCCTCCAACTGGGTGATGCGAGCCTCCAGCCTCCTCTTCTCATCGGCCATCAGAGAACTGGAAACAAGAGAGAAAGAGAAGTGATAGTTGGAGACAAACATATAGGTTTCTCTTTGAAATGACAGTGCATGTACACTGTAGACGGTTTAAGTGTACAAATTCTAAGTTTGTATTTTGTTGCTGAATTCGAGCATCTATTCCAGTTCAAAATGAATACAACAACTGGGTGATGAATCATTAATACACACTGAAGGGGTTATCGTTTGTTTCATACTTTTTGCTGTTGCCGCTGTTAATCTCATCCAGGAGTTCGTCTCTCTCGGTCTGGGCCTGTCTCTTGAGCTTTTCTGCATTGGCCAGATCCTGGAGGGAGCAGAAGACTGTTTAAAGCCTGAAACTAGAGTCTGTTGGAACAGTTAACCGTTTATATAAAATAAATTCAGAGTCAAGTTAAGACTATGTTCAACACCACGAATAGAAACAAAACTTGTTCCAAGTTGTGCAATGAATGTTCATTTATGATTTCCCTGTCTTGTGAGGTTTTATGTAGATGTTCCTTTAATTAAAAGAAAAAAAAAATCTTAAGTGATTATAAATGTAGAAATCATCTCCTCCTCCCCTCCCCCCACAACTTGAATGTTGTGGGTGAATGTTTTTGTTGCTTCCCTCCACCCCCACTGTTACTTTCATACCTCCTGGAAGTGCAGGGCATCTGCCTCCATAGCTTTGAGCTTCTTTTCCGTCTCCTTGGCTGCATTGACAGCTTCATCTCTGGAAAGACGCAGCTCATCCAGCTCTCTCACTTGATCTTTTGTTTGGGCCTGCAGAGCAGACATGCAGACAGCAGCGCTGAAGTTAGACACCTTTTACTGTCGTGGGCTTTCAGTCAATGTATGTGACCACAGTATTAGTGTATTAAGATCCATCACTAATATGAAGACGATGAGGTTCCAACTGTTTTACATTGACTGGGAAATGAATGTGACTGAAAATGTTTTTGGCTCACGTTCATATTGCTTTTGCTTGTCTGTATTGTATGTGGCGTATGCATCCGTTTTACCTGTAGTTTTTTCAGCTGTTTGAGGGCCTCATCACGGCCCTTGTTGGCAGCATCGATTTGGGCTTTAAGTTCTATCAGGTCAGCTTCCAGTTTTTTCTTGGATGCGAGCGCCTGAGCACGCTGTCTGCGTTCATCTTCCAGTTCGACCTCCATCTCACGCGTCTGGAGAGTGAAACATTGTGTCAAACCATAATTCAGTGTTTTCTTGCAAGCTTAATTTGTAACTCTGAAATTATTCAAATCAACTTTGCCAGGCATTTCAGGTTTAGCCACACCTGTTTCCCCAGCTGTTTCCTCTTCTCCTCTCCCTGCTCATCTCTAGCCTGCAGGTCTCTCTCAAACTGGGCCTTCATGGCCTGCATGTTGACCTCCAGACGCAGTTTGGCATCTTCTGTGGCCTGCAGCTCATCCTCCAGCTCCTCCAGCTGAGTTTTCATCTCCTCCAGCTGCTGCTCGATAGCACGCTTTGATTTCTCCAGCTCATGAACCTGTGGATGCCCATCAACTTACATTGGTACACATGCAGTATTTGAGCAATTCTGATTTTTGCCATTACTACTACTCCAGGTACTACCACTACTGAAGGTAGTGGCATTTGATTAAGGTTATCAAAACAGTGCATCTATGTACTCATGCTACGTTACTATAATAAAAATGCTTCGCTGGGAGAAAAAAAAAAGCTAATAAAAGCAATACAGACATGAATCAACATGTCTTTGCAGCTCTCAGTGTACGACAACACGTCATCTTACACTTTTGCCAACATCATCCTTGGAGGAGACCAAATCTTCCATTTCAGCTTTGAGCATCTTGTTGGTCCGATCCAGCTCATTTTTCATGTCTGTAAGGGCCTCCAGCTCACGGGCCAACGTCAGCGCTCGCGTTTCCTTCTCCCTGCCCTCAGCCTCAGCTTTGTCACGCTCCTCAGCATACCGAGTAGAAATAGCTTTTTCTTCAGCCAGCATCTAGGGAAGAAGTTAGAAGTGTATATCACACTGAAACCGATAATCTCGCAATTCCAAAATGACACTTTTTAAAATGAGTTAAGATAAACATCTTCAGCTTTGTGACAAAACATCCTTCTGATGACTTTTTTTTGTAAACAGTGGCCCTTAAACTGAGTTTGAAAGGATCAAAGATGGTAAGTGGCATTTCGATGAACCAATGCCATGTTTGATACCATATCAAGATTTTAAAATAAAATTTAAAAAACCTGAAGACAGCCTGAAAGAAGCAGCCAGGGCCGACACGAAGGAGTAGGAACACAGATTTATTAGTTGCACTTACTGTTCTACACAGAGAAATAAAAAAAAATAAAAAAATAGCAGCATGTCAACCTGGTGACAAATCTCATTTGATTTCCATACTTTCATATTTTCAGACTCAGTTTAAAATGAGTCCACCAACATCAGCATTCACCCATTGCATCTGAGAGACTTGACTTCCCTGTAGTATTCGCTGAACTTGACTGACTTGGGTTCAGTGCAATCACACGCAATCAGTGTTGTCCCTACTTTTCCATAATCTGAAATGTCAGTTTTAGTAAAATAACAATAAGAGAAATGGTTTTGTAAAATGTCACTGTTTTGCACTTCAGGGCCACCGTAGTTTTTACATGGTTGATTTAGCTAAAGAAGAATTTTCTCGAACTATACAGGAACATATGATCTCTTGATGAGATACCTGGTCAAACTTCTTCTGCTTCTTCTCCAGGTTGGAGACACTCTGCCTCAGGTTGTCCTGGTCCACCAGGAGGTCATCCAGCTCCTGTTGTAAACGGGTTTTGGTCTTGGCCAACACGTCATAGGCTGAACTCTTCTCCTCCAGCTGCTGCGTGACACTGTCCAACTCTCGCTGTACTCGCTTGCGGCCGTCCTCGGCCGCCTCCAGGGACAAGACCTCCTGTTCTAGTTTCTTCTTCAACTCTGCCACCTGAAAACAAAAGGAAAAAAAAAAAAAAAAAAAAGAACTATAAAAGGTGAGGATGTAATGTTGACAAGCCGTGTGGCATCATTTACCATTTATGAAATAATTAAGGCTAAAGTGCAATCTGAAGGCCTTTGGCTATCCAAAGATAAAGACTTGAAGAGTGACACAGACCTGCGCCTGCAGAGCAACGGCCTGCTTCTCCAGGTTCTTTTTGCTCTCTTCCTCTTCTTCCAGGGTCTCCCGCAGGCTGTTCTGCTCACCTTCCAGCTGCTTCAGCTGGGTGGAGATGGAGAGCTTCTGACGGGTCTCCTCTTGGAGCAGCCTCTGCAGTTATGTGATGGGGGAGAGCAATTTAATAAACAACCCTTTGAACTTAATGCCTTTTTTGGGCTCCTGTTTCACTCGTGTTTTGCCTGCTAACATTTCAGCACATTTGCACAATGAAAAGTTTGTTAATGGCACTTTGTTTGCAATGTCACTATAAATGTACAGAAACCATTACTGGATGATGTCATAGTGAAGAAGACACTCATTATTAGGCACGATTTGAACTTGTATGATGGTTTATTTGTAGTGTCATATCACCGGAAAATGTGTAAGAAAGCTTTAAAACTTGTGTAAATCATAGATGTTAAGAAGATGACCTCTGGTGCATAGTCAGTTGAGTGCAAAGGGTTAATGGATACAAATCCTGTGACAGTTGGTGTGTATACATCTCAGCATATGACCATCAACTTAAAAATGTTTGTATAGTAGTACACTGTAAATAGGTACAGTAAGACAGGCTACACAAAATAAAGATGTTTATTGCTTCTGCCAATAAAGCAATAGTAAAAAAAAAAAGCTCACACTTGATATCAATCTGATTTACAATGTTGTAAAACAGAAAAGCTGCGCACAGTCACAATGGAGAAGAAAAGAGAACTGTTGCCACTTTTGCTTAAAAGTGACTTACATGATTTGTAAGATTATCAAAAATTGTTGCCAATTCATTCACTGTAAACTGAAAATCTATTGACTAGTTCAGCTCTGAAGTCTGTGAAAAGAGCTAAGGGGAACCCAATGTTGCAATAGCGGTAATAAACATGCATGCATCTGTATTTGTACCTGTGTATCCTGCAGCTGCGACTCAAGGGAAGAGAGATCCTTGCTGGATTTGATGTTCTTGCCCTCTGCTTGACTCAGGAGGCCGTTTGCATTGTCTAGCTCCGACTAGACAGCAGATTGAAAGCATCAATGAATCAGACAATTTAATCAGCTTCTCCATCCACCCTCATAGAAATATCATTAACATCACTTCTTCCTCAACTCTGTTCAAGCATTCATCCAGTCCATCTCTCAGAGGTCACTTCATCCATACCTGGACCTTGGCCAGCTTTTCGGCCAGTTCGTGTCGCTGTCGTTCACTTTCTCCACATTTGACCTGCAGTTCTTGAAGTTGGGTTTCGGCCTTCTTGCGACGGTGTTCAGAGTCTCCTTTGCTTTGCATCAGCGTCTTCATCTCAATCTTGAGCTCGCTCCACTCGCTCTCCAGTGCCTGCTTGGCTTTTTCCACTGACACCTTGTTCTGCACAAGAGCCACACATGACGTTACTGCAGTTCAGATATTTTCTCAACATTGACATGTCTCTTCTGACCACCCCGCCTGTTACCCTTTTGGCCTGTTCCAGCTGCTCGTTGAGCTCTTCAAAAGCCTGATTGTGTTTTTGTCTCATGTCAGCCATTTGCTGCTCGTGGACCTTTGCCTCCTCTTCCAGTGTCTTCTTTAACTGGGCAACCTCTGTCTCACGCTTTGTCCTGGAAAGATGGAACAAGGTGGTGGGATAAACACAAAATGAGATTTGAGAAGAAAATCCTGTTGACTTTGACCTCATGTGTTTTCACCCAGGGACTCCACCAGGCCAATTGTCCCAACAACTCAATTTAGCCCCTAAACTGGAAGATGTTTGCCACTGATCTAACAATTGTTTGCATGAGCTTTAAGGCTTAATAGGGCTGCTGCTAGCGTGGCTGTAGGGAAGCTCAATGTAGGACCTTCCTGTTACCCCTGTGTGAACATAATCATCCAACACCACCATGTAGTTTACCCAGATGACGACGTCAGATCTGAGGGACAACTCGTCAAATTTAAATATTTTTTTCAAGAAATGTCCCAAAATCCCCATTTCTACACAAGCTTGACTGTTACCTAAGCTCCTGCTGAGCTGCAGTGGAGTCTAAAGTGTCCTCCAACTCAGTCTTCAGGGCCTCCAGCTCCTCTCCCAGGTCTCTGCGTTGTTTCTCAGCCTTGGCGCGAGCCTGCCTCTCCAGCTCCAGATCCTCCTGCAGTTCAGAGATCTGGGCCTCCAGCTCCCTGATCTTCTTCTGGGCTGTGTTCTTGGCTGCAGCCTCCTCCTCCATCCTGGAGGTATAAGAGGAATAAGAATGACAGATAGGTACTCAGTGTGAATATGCTAAGAACAAGGGGAACATGCAAATCAACAGATCAAAAGTTAACATATGTCACAGTTTGGGGAAACTGGTCAGAAATGTGTTTTCTGCTTAAGTGTTAGGTTAAAACAAATACAATTCTAACCTGGCCAGTGCAGCAAGGAGTTCTTCCTCCTTCTTGGCCAGCTGAGCTCGCAGGTCAGCAATCTGTGCCTGCAGGTCTGCAATCTGGTCGCTGAGCTCAGCCGAGTCTCCCTCAAGTTTACGACGGTTCTTCTCCAACTCCTGACGGCCTTTCTCCTCTTTTCTGAGACGATCTGTATGTGAGAAGTTGTAATTTAATCCAATTTGTAGTTGTCTTTTTAATTGAAGTAATAACACAAAGCCACACAATATTAAATTAAAAATGACTGAAAAGGTCTTATAAAGGCATCTCTCATGGGGACTTTACATTCATTCTTTTGCTTAAAATTCCATGATTTAAGGTGGTGACAGCATCTGATCCCTACAAGGAAGGCCGAGTCTCCACATTATGAGTGCGCAAACAGGTTTCCCCTCCCCCCCCCCCCCCCCCCCCCAAAA